AGTACGGCCAGGAGCCCCTAGTAGCAGCATCCTTGCTCCTAGTAGTAAGGCCAGGAGCTAGTAGCGTCCTTGCTCCTAGTAGTAAGGCCAGGAGCCCCTCCCCTTCCTTGCTCCTAGTATTAAGGCCCCTTGCTCCTAGTAGTAAGGCCAGGAGCCCCTAGTAGCATCCTTCTCCTAGTAGTAAGGCCAGGAGCCCCTAGTAGCAGCATCCTTGCTCCTAGTAGTAAGGCCAGGAGCCCCTATATAGTAGCGTCCTTGCTCCTAGTAGTAAGGCCAGGAGGCCCCTAGTAGCAGCATCCTTGCTCCTAGTAGTAAGGCCAGGAGCCCCTAGTAGCAGCATCCTTGCTCCTAGTAGTAAGGCCAGGAGCCCCTAGTAGCGTCCTTGCTCCTAGTAGTACGGCCAGGAGCCCCTAGTAGCAGCATCCTTGCTCCTAGTAGTAAGGCCAGGAGCCCTTCTTAGCAGCATCCTTGCTCCTAGTAGTAAGGCCAGGAGCCCCTAGTAGCGTCCTTGCTCCTAGTAGTAAGGCCAGGAGTCCCCTAGTAGCGTCCTTGCTCCTAGTAGTAAGGCCAGGAACCCCTAGTAGCGTCCTTGCTCCTAGTAGTAACGCAGTAGCGTCCTTGCTCCTTACCGAGCATCTTCGCGCCAGGAACTGCTCCTTGCAGATTCCTATTCAATATCTGGAGGAAGAAGTCCGTTCGGCTCCCATGAAGCCCGTCGACGTCGAATCCGATCGCAGGAGTATGTGGACGAATGGCCCACCAATGACGAGGCACATGATAAAGCCCTCAAAGCCCTGATGCTTGGCGATTGGTACCAAGATGTATTGGAAGATGAAGCGAAGGTTGTAGATTTGTTCGCTCGGAACTGAAGCGCTCTCTTTGTCAGTAATGATGTTGGGCTGGAGCAATCTCTAGGAGCCATTCGTCTATGTTAGAGCCTAGATGCGATAGATGAGATCAAATGAAATACCAAGGGTTTGCTTCGAACGAGCACACGCTGGCCTTGTTTGTTTTCCAGATTTCCTGACATCCAAGGATCCTTACCAAGTACCTGCAAGCTCCGGGAAACATGGTGGAGGCTGTGTGAACCGGGCTGGAAGCACAAGGTTTTACCAGAATTTGCCCCAAGAGCTGTGCAAGTGCACAGGTCAAGACTAGCTGGAAAGACGTCAAACTGTGCTTTTGGACTGTTTGAAGGCATCAGAAGGTTTTTTTTGTCGAGCCAGCGCCCATGCTGCCCATGTCATTGATTTCATGTTTCAATTTCCCATGTCGTCAGGTTGAACTTTTGGACGAGTATATGGTTTCACTCGCCAGAACCATGGAGGGCAAGAATGCCATCTTCTGGAAAGTGGTGACCAAAACCCAAGAGGAGATCGAGTTCGCTTCTGGCGGACAGCCTGGAGAGCTTGTGTCCGTCCCCATGCCTCACCACTTTCCGTTACTCATCGTCCCCAAGGAGGCCAGGCCAGCGCCGCATGTCCATGCATATCCCAAGTGCATTGGCTCCGTAAGTGTGCTGGTTGCGTCAATTGCAGGACTTTTCTTTGGTGGAGTTGGAAAAGGTGTCGAAATATAAGGATTCACACCTTCATCTATTCCTTCTTCCTCATCTCTCACCACTTTGGAGATTTGGAGACACCCAAAAGCTTGCAGACTTTGGCTGGCTTGAAGGACTTTGCGCTAACATGTGGACATGACACCGAAAATGGGGACTGGGTTGTTCGGCTTCGGTTGATCTTATATCCACGATGATGATCGATCAGGTCTCGGACGGCCTTGACCAAGAACGTATACGTCTTGTTGGAACGACCCTCTTTTGCCCGATCATATAGGTATCGTATCGATGTCACACTTGAGAAGTGTGCTAGGATGGATCTGACGCAAAAAGCATCACGCCGGCTAACGCAGCCTCCCAGCAATTGATGAATTTTTTTTAAGTCTGCCACGGAAAGTAACTAAGTAAGTCCTCCAAAGAGGGTACCTGCTTCCTCGGATGTTTTGAAGTAGTCATCAAACACAAGAAGCACAGTTCTGCCCCTGGTTTGAATTGGTTCCCAAGGTCACCGCGGGCTGACTTTGTGAGAGCAGCGGTTAGTTTCGTGTCTAATGTCACAAACACTTTTCTGGGTCTTGGAGCTTTGCCCACAGATGAGCACGACTCAAAGTTCCATGATCCACTTCCACACTTCATCTGGTTTGTTTGATGAGGGCGTGACCTAACAAGCTCTCTTACCAGATTCCTCCATTGACGGTAGTAAGTCTCTGGTGTTGGCATGTCAGGGACAGCCATGGTGCGCATGCTTCTTTGACCCTTGGCTTTCCCTCATCATCCTTTTTGGATTTCAGCTCTTTGAGCAACTCGGCCAAGCCGCTATAGAGAGCATCAGCGTCACCCGAAACAGCATTGCCAGCCGCCTGCTCCATCACCTGCATTCGAAGCCTCTTCATCTAGGTTCTCACAAACAGTTCGTCTCGGTCCGCGCCATGCTCGCCAACCGCGGGGGTTCTCCACCTCGCGGCCAGCGGGCTCCAACTGCACCGGCGCAGTAGGCTGATGCGGCTCTGTATCTCAACGGGGAATTCACTCATCAAGCTGTCCTTGTAGCAGTTCATTCGTCTCCGCTGCCTTTTGCAGCTCTGCTTCCAGTGTGGCTTTTGTTCTTGCCACTCGGTCTCCATCTCTTGGTGTTGTCTTCCTTCTTCATCTTCTTCTACCAGCAAGCCACGAGCTTCATCCGAGGCGTCGTCAATCATCTTGTCGAAGATCTGCCTCTTTTCGTTCATCTTGACTTGGTTGTTCTGGTGAGTTGAAGGTAGGCTGTCACTCCTCCTGATCCCATCACTACGGGCATAAGGTCGTCCCCCGGCGTTCGGTGGTTGAGCGCCGGTGTATGGTCTCATCGCGAGTGCAGCTGACACACCATCATCTGTGGCCATGGCAGAGGCTACGGCTGATAACCGGTATTTTCAGGCTCAGCCACTGAAAACTAGTCAATGACCGTTGAGCTATGCAACCTACCGGGCGCACTTTTATATCCTCTGAGCTGCAATGCTGCGGTGAGAATTGGCTCCACGCTCAAAACATGAGGAAGAAGTAGTCACCGAAGCGCAAGTTTTTGCACTTTCCGAAGAATCTATATTGCCGAACCTGGAAGAGAGCAAGGATGTTACCGCCTTTTGCCAGGTCCAAAGGTGGTCAAGCAAGGTTTTATACTGCTCGCTTCGGATGTGTTGATCAAAGCAAACAGCCCATGTTGAGGATGGGTTGAAGGGCGAGGAAGTTGCAGTAGTCATCAGTTTCGAGATGTTTACCCTAGCCAGTCATGCTTTGCAGAAGTTTGCGTGTTTGCCATCAATCATATTGTCAATGGGAAAGATGAAGTCCACTGACCACACTCGTGAACCGAAAGCTGCCACGAGGAACTAGGCTACAGACTTAAAGGAAATCGTTCGTTGAACTTTCATATACTTCGCATCCAGAACAGACTGTCCTGGCGTACTTGGGTCATGGCCGCCTTCAGTGGTGTGCCTTCATGGGGTGAACAGGAAGCCACATCCTTCCACAACCGTACCATTCATCCAGGTCCTGTTTCAAGGCAGATGAAACTGAGGAAATCAAAACTGGATTCTGCTTCTTGAAAGCTGTAATTAGATGTAATTATATAGGCGATAAGGTGGCAGAATGTCAGCGCAAAACCATAAGGGCCCAGAGAAGGCAGCATTGCCCATTGCCCTTTTTCAGCCGTCAATGCTGAGCCGCCTTGATTCATTGTATTGCATTCGATTCATTCAAACTATTTCGACATATTTAGACCACCGGAAAGTTCCATGGCATGAGGCTGCATCCCATTCATGTCATTGTGCCACCTTGTGCCAGGCAAGAGATGAACTGCCAGTCGCACCGGCCACACTTACATGAACCTGCTTGGATTCTGCCTCACAGATGCTTTGATGCCAGGCGCGGCTGGCAAAGTTTGAGCACGCATGGAATACTATGTATGGACGCGCTTAACTACGCATGATTTGGCTGTTGGCCACCCGTGCCATGCCTCATGTTTCAAATCGGTTCTGAGTTCGGACCAGAGTCCTCGAACTCCAAATGTGTGGTGAAAAAGGGCTGTAGAATGCTGTGCATGTCGACTCTGCGTTTGTGCCAGGAATGTCGTATGCGGTTTGTGTGTGCATGGATGTCTGGGTGTGTGTTTGTCGGGTTGACATGTTTCTTTGTTGGTGTATGTGTGTGTTGGGTTGTGCTGGACAAGCTTCTTTTGTAGCCCAGGCGCGATCTTGGGCAGGGCCGCATGCAGCGCATGGAACATGGGATTAGACTAACATGTCAAGCTTTTACGAATCAGTTTTGGATGTTTTGTTATGGGTCACATTCCCATCAACTCTCATGGTCTTTTCATGTAAATGGGTTCTGTCTCCTGCCGGGATGTAGACACTTGAGTGAAACAGTGGGCTGGTCTATTGGCTTCATATCTTCCATGGGTCATAGCTATTGTTCTATGTTATTGTTTTGTTAACTCAGGAACCTGACCATTTGGAAAAATGGCAGCAGCGATTTTCAAGCTAAGAGGCTGAAACCACATGGGGAGGCAGAAATTCATGTGAAATTGGTCAGAGGCAGAAATAGTGCACCACCGGAAGGTGCAGGTGCACACAGGTAGAACTAAACTACACTGCTACTACACTGCTTCCCTTCACTGGTACACCTTTGGGTTGTTATTGCATGCTTTTGGAATCTGAAGACTGTTTGCGCATGTTTGCGTCCTGTGCCGTTACATTAAGCTTCTCCGAAAGAACTGGAGCCAGGGGGTTCGAAGCACAACCCACCGCGGAACACTGCTTCACATGCTTCGACAAAAGGGTTCGAGTCGACTGTCATGAGGGTTCGAAGACGGTCGAGAAGACGGTCGTGAGACGACGGGTCATCCAAGGTCGTCCGACCAAAGACAGGCGTGTTTCCACATTAATAGAAACAAGAAGCTACTAGTAACAAGTGCATCGCTTCTAGTAACAAGTGCCTTACTAGTAGGAACAAGAAGCTATTAGAAACAAGAAGCTTAAAAAACACCTCAAGATTTCGCACAGCAGGCGCAAAGAACCGCCATGCGTGCGACCCGCGGCCATGTGAGTCCTAATAAGGGTCTTGCAGCGGGGTATGCGGAGGATGATGCTGCCAGAGCCCTAGGCAAGACAGGCACTCTCTTGGCTTTGTGCCAACAAGTGCATTCTGGCTTCAAAGAAGAACTGAGTATGACAAAGGCTTCTGTTTCGTATCATCGGGTTCTCGTCATCTAAAGTCTGCTTCACTGAGGCTGAGCGGGCAGCAGATCAATTGAGTGCCTGGGATGCCAATACACGGCGCTTTGCACTCCAAAGCCTGGGACTCCTGGGGCCCAAAGCCTCGGATCACCTGCCGGAGATGGCGAAACTGCTGGAGGATGAGGAGCCGGAGGCCCTTCTCGCGTCGTTTCTCTGAAGGAGAACGGTTGGAATCGGTGCAACGCCAGTCTACGAGTGGAATGAGACCAAGCAGGACTTTTCATGTCAGAGTTCAGAGCCCTGACATGTGACACCACAGGATGACTTTGGCTCGACACATGTGGATGTGTTTGTTTGATGTTTTTGGGCTTGCGAGGTTCGCAAGGCTGCCGCCCAAGCCTGTGGCCGCGTGGGTGGTGGGGCCCGGGATTTGGCCATGGCTCTGAAGGATGCAGAGGTGCGGTGAAGGAAAGGAAGAGGAACGACTCCCCGATTCATTGCAGAGTCATACCTCAAGTTCATCCAAGTCACCGTCTGAGCATTGATCAAAATTCACTAAGGTCTAGGGTGTTCTCAGAGAAAGACATGGCCATGAGTCAAACCCGGGACCCTGGTTGACCTCCCAAAAAGAACAAACTGGACTGGAATGGACAGCCAGGGAGCTCAACCATCCCCACGTCTTGAGTGAAAACGGTGGCGGCACACTCTGTGGTCAGAATATGTCAGAATGCCCCAACAAAACTAACAAACAACGTGGTCGGGGACATCGTACATAGGCAACATACCCTCATCATCCCTCGTCTATTGATGGGACATACAGTAATTGAAGGCCTTTGCAAGGTATTTGAAAAAGAGTCGAAAGGCCTGTTTCATTCTACTAGTAACAAAGGGCATCGCTACTGATTAGTAGCAATGACATGCAATGACGCTATTAGTAGCTCCTGGCCTTACTACGAGTAGCAAGGACGCTGTTGTGGGTGTAGCTTCCACAGCCCGATCATCAGCTTCTCCCTTTTTCAGAGCCAGGCTGCTGTGCGGAGCGAAGCAGCCACAGCGCTGGGGCGATTAGGATCGCAGGTGCTCAGGATGTGTTTATTTTTTATTTTGTCCGGGGCAAATCAGCCAAACCCGCTAGAATCTACTAGGAACAAGGTGAATAGCTACTAGTAACAAGTGCATAGTAGCTAGAAGCTACTGCCAGTAACATCTACTAACAAGGGCATCGCTACTAGTAGCTTCTTGTTACTATATAGTAGTAATGCACTTGTTACTAGTAGCGATGCCATTGTTACTAGTAGCACACAGGCATTGTTTGCCCTTGAGGACTCTTTATATATACCGTGGTTTCAGAGTAGATGGCACAATCCTGAAAAGGATCCAAAAGGTGGAACATATGGACCCCTATATAAACGACATCTTTGAGGGTTTGTGCCATCTCTGAAACCACTGTAAGTGAATTCCAAATAGGCTGGGAACTACGGCACGATGCTTGGACTCTCTTTGGACTGACACTCTTTCCCATCGGCCAAGAGGAAAGTCTCCATGTTTGATTTGAGTCAATTGAAAAACATGAGACAAAGTCCAAGAGGAAATATGTTATTGACCATGTTTGTCCCAAGAGGAAAGTCAATTGAACACATATTTCTTGCAGTTCGATGATTCGTAAAGTCCTGTGAGCAGAGCGAACACTTTTTCTTCGGGCACCAGAAAATGGTACAACTCCCATGTAGTTGCCCGGTGGGATCTCATCAAGGTGAGATGTGCATGGGGAATCACGGCAAACCCAACCATACGACATCCATACAACCGTGACAAAGCAACGTGCATCTATCTCGAGCTTCTGGCTCATCTTCTTGGGTTTTCTGGCGAGGGGCATGGATTCATTCGGCCTTTTCCTCAAAGACCATGTGGGCTTGGAAGTCACTGCTGCTTGGTACAGCTGCAGCATTCCGCTATACTCCGGCCAACACCGATTGCTGGCACCGTGGAACGGAAGAAAGTTGCTGTGGGAGTGATGCGAAGCCAGGCTGCTGGGATGACTTTTGGAATCATGCGAGATGTTGTGTCTCATCAGCATGCAGTGCTGTATCTCATGTGGTTCCAAACGTTGGTCGACCAAAACCCGCTGTGTTTTTTGGAAACCGCTTTTCGGTGGTCAACCAGGGTCGGTTGTATCCCACAGCCGCAGGGATAGATGTCAGAAGATGTTTTATTTATTTTGATGTGGAAGCTCGGGTCCTGATGGAGGGAGGCATCTGACATTTTGACTTGGGAGGTGGGCTGTAGGTCGGGCTTTTGGGACGTTTCGACCAGGTCTCAACGAGATTGAGTTGCTTGAAGTCGCAGACGTCGATTGTTTGGGCCCCGTACAAGATGACATCCAAGAACTGGTTCTTGAGAAGCCATCAGAAGAACGGCCCTTTGTCTTTCTGTGGGACGAAAAAACAGGCGGAACAACTTTCAATGACTGGCTATTAGCGTCAGCTGCAAACCTGGGCCTCTTGAACTCGACGCACATCTCCGATTTTGGTTGGCCAAATGTAATTGGAACGCCATTCTTCTTGAAGACCTACGAGACCAAAAAACTGAAATCATTGCAGATCCTTTCTGCCACCGTGGACTGGAACATTTTTGCCGTTCTGGGCTGTGCTGCGCAACGTCGACCCAGCTGCTTCGTTCTGTTGCGGAACCCCATTGATCGCTTCCTGTCTTACTATTTGGAACGGTCCGACCGAAGCCTTGAAGGACTCCATCCGTAGCTTCTTGTTACTAGTAGTAGCGATGGCCTCCAACCTAGAAGCAATGGCCTCCAACCTTGAAGGAGGTGCTCTCCCCATCCGTCATTTGTTTGATCTCCCCATCGAAGACTTCGAAGACTACCTGGAGTCCATCCGCCATGACCGCTTTCGCTTCAGCGGCCGGGAGAGTGGACTCTTTTGCAATACTGAGAATGCTGAGCTGTGCTTAGAGACCTCAGAGGACCTTTTCGAGGCCGATCCGGGGCCGGAGACCTTTGCGTTCAGGACAGAAGATGAAGACTCTTAGGCAACGCTTTGACAAACAAAGTAGGCCAAATATGTCTATTTAAAAACTACAGTCTACTGTTGGAATATACCGAGTATACGGACATCTACTTTCGTCCAAGCGTGTGATTTGAACAGATCAGAGGACCTTCGGAGGACCTCAAAACCGCTTGGCCCGTATGTTGGATCCGCCCTTCGGTCGCCTTTCGGTGGCCTCACAGCGCCTAAGCCGCTGCGTCGTCAGCCTGCAGAATGAAGACTTTGAAAACCATCTGCGGGTTCTTCGAAGATTTCATCCCTGGATCAGCCAGGTGCACTTCGATGAAGCCAAGACTGCTTGGGTGGGGCAAAACAGCTACAACAGCAGGGAGTCGGCATTTCTGCGAGAGAACCTACCTGAGGCGTTTCGCCGTGCCATCGCACGCTTTAACTCTGTGGACATGGACTTGTACCAGCAGGGCCTCAATCAGTTTTATCGCCAGACTGCCACCGCCCGGGCCAGCATTCTCCCTGAAGCATGGCTTCGACCTCCGATCCTCCGGTTGGCGGAGAAGGACTGGGAGGTGACGTGGCCCTTCTTTCAGAAAGAGCTTCCCACCACCTTCTTCATTCGACGTTTGATGCGTTGCCGTATCACTCGCTTGGCTTCCCAATGTGGGAGGCTGGTCGGGGAAGTCCTGCCAGAGGGGGTGGATTTCCTACTGGCGCAGGACGGAAGACGAGAGCGAAGTGGCGAAGTGTTTTTCTTTGGACCAGGAGCAAGGACGCTACTAGGGGCTCCTGGCCTTACTACTAGGAGCAAGAAGCTACTAGGAACAAGGGCATCGCTACTATAGGAGCAAGGACGCACGAATTCTCACATAATTAGGCATGTGAGCGACTTGCAACTGTAGGGGGATGCGACCTGATCCCAAATTCTCAGGTCTCCGGGTCTCAAGACCGAGGAGCACTGAATTGCTAATCGAACACACTATAAATTCTTACCATTTCGTAGCAATGCTGACAGATGGGGGCGATTTGGGTAATTGGGGGTTGCAGTATGTTGCATGTTGTTGCACTAGGTTTGTCTACAATTGCAGACAGCATTGGTTTGTGCAATCGTTCAACCCTGTCGATCCCTTTGGAAGTGATTTTCCCAACTGGTGCAGGTTATCAGTATATAAAGATCACGATAGTTGATCCCACCAGAAACTCAGCTATATTATATACTTGAGGTGACACATGGGGACAACACCCTAAGACAAAATGACACAAACTCTCATTCATATGAGCTTACATAAGACATAAGAGTTTGCAAAGGTGAGGTGGTGATTGCGCTGTGGTGTAGTGCACCAATGCATGTGATGATCCAAGCGCTCCCGTGAAAAAGGAGCTGGTCGAGCACATAATCGGTGTTATCAACCATGAGTTCTACCAACATCATCCGGAAGACTTTTACCGGTGACTGGGCAGAAAGTGTTTTATTTTTTCAATATGTTTTTTGTTCTTCCATCCAAGAACTCGACAATTGATATAACAGTTATATAGAAGGCATGCGGGAATTGTATGGCCTCGGAGTCACATCATTCAAACGAGAAGATGGTACAGAGAAAAGTAACCGGTATCACATGACACATGGTGTTTTCGTTCTCCCCTCATGTCTCTCTCTCTCTCTCTCGCTAGCTTGCGCTAGCTCGCTCACTTCTGTTACACCGTGTATCACCCGTTGCATGCCCAGGATGCGCAGTCAGGACTGGGTGGCCCGGAACGGCAGAAGCGAGGTGCCTTACAAGGTCGTGGAATTGCCTAAATTTAATGAATTCCTTGAGACAGCTTGGGCAGATGCGCAAGAGGTCATTCGGAGCGAGGATGCCTGGAAAGAAAAGAGGCGCCAAAGGTTGGAGGGAAGTCCCCCGCTTTGACCTACTGTACCATCAAACTGCAACTGATAGATTTCACCAATCTAGACTTCGGGAGGGCATCATCAAGCTTTTCCATTCCACGGATGGGCACCATCGTGTTGTCCAGCTAACCCCGTCCTGGAGTCCTGGAGGGGCTTCGAACCACGGCAAATGGGTGTTGGAAGTTCACATTGCACAAGGGTGGCGGAGTGGCTTTACGACTATTGTTCCAGACGTTGTCGTGATCGCCAGGCCAAGCCACAGCTTGAACGCATTGTAGCTTTAGCCAAGGACCTGCTGCGTGATGGAAGAGAGGTTTCTTTGCACGAGTCAGATTAGGATAAGGCAAGTAGTGATTAGATTAGATCTACAGTATAACATAAATAAATGAGCACAGGCATGCGCAGGCTCTTTGGTCAGGCATGCGCAGGCTCTTTAGTAGCCAGGTCAAGGCCGAGCATGCTTGGTTATGGGAGTGTGGCGATTTGATGCCAAGTGTCAGGTGGATTAGGTTCTAGTAGCCAAAGTGGACAGTCGCATCAAGATGTGTCACAAAGCCATCCAACAGTTGAATTCAAGTGCCGCTTCTGCAGGATCCAGATCAAGACGCCGCTGCTGCAGCCGTCACCTGCCTTGCAAATATTGGCGAGGTCCGCACTGCATGTTTGGCAAAGAAGTTGTGAAGGCCATTTCTGTGATGACATTCAACCTAGATTGAAATGATATGACGCCATTAAAAGCCTCCCTGTCACACATGGAGCATACCTGCTTGGTAGCTGCTGCTTGGTGATCTCAAAGCAACTTGTGCACATGAAAGAGGTCCCCAGAATTCCCCCGTAGTGTGCCCCTAGTTAGTAGCTTCTTGTTCCCAGGAGCGATGCCAGGAGCCCCTTTCGTAGCGTCCGATCGCTCCTAGTAGTAAGGCCAGGAGCCCCTAGTAGCTTCTTGTTTCTAGTTGCTTCTTGTTCCTAGTACCAGATGTTCAACTTCAATTTTACCAGCCAAACCATGCGGCGATCAGACACGTCACCTGGTCACCAGGCTCAAGCGTTGGCGGCTTTCATGGACAGCCCCTTCCCCACGGTGCGGTCTGTTTATTTCATGACGGACTTGCAGGACTCAGAAGACGCAGTGGAGAGTTACGCGCATGATCTAGATCTGGATTCATGATCCACATTCATTGTCCAGCTGCCAGCTGTTGTTTTGTTGTTTTTTTGGTCAACCCCATTCCTTCCAGACTTCGTGGAGGACCGGAGCGACGTTGACAGAGACGACCACTCCAAAGTAGACTGACTGTGCTGTGCAGGTCGTTCGCGCAGCTGTGATGGAGGCACGGTCGGTTGTCAAGTTTTGTTTTTGAAGCAAGGAAGGTTTGCATTCGGTGGTGTTTGTCCAAGAGTGTTCAGGATTATTCAAGCAAGCTACAATCTCAAAAGAAGGCGCACGTTTTGGAGCCCGCGCCGCGCTGATTCGGGCTTCCAGTATCATTCTATCCAAGGGGGGACATGACAACATGGCCGACGGCAGCTGCCAGGAAAAGAGCCGACAAAATTCACTGCATGGTTGGGGCAATTGACCAAATTTAGCTATGGATTCTCATGTGCAGGGTAAAGGATGGGGGAAAGGATGGATATGAGCAGAAATGCCAGAGTCTTTTAGCGAAAATGATACCTGAGCCTTGATCCTGGTGCAATGGAGCGTGTTTTGCACGCCTTCCAAGAAGCAGGCCTGAGCCTTGTGAGCAGGGCCTACTTCCTACGAGTGCTTGGACGATTTGGAGACTTCGAGGTGGGAAAAGACTTTGAAGGGATCTTTGGGGGGATTCCTCATGATCCCTCCATGTGTTTTACACATGGATCAAATCAAATCCCAAGACTTCTTTTGAACCTTAGGAAGCTATGGCTTCCGCAGTCTGTGCACAAACACAGTTTTTACCTTCCTCCCTGCAGGTGCTCTTGGATGCGTATGGATCTAGCTCGACTTCGATCGACGTAGCCCACTTCTTGGAGTGGCTGAAACCGGAAGTGCCTCCACAGCTCCAGGCAAGCGCCGCGAGCGCCGCGAGCGCTTCGGCACTGGTGGAGGACTTGGCACGGCGCTCGGTGACGCTGCGGACACTGCTGAAGTTCCTGAGGAGCTTGCCGAAGACCATGCCACACTTCAATGTGGAACGCACGAGGACGGTGGATGTGGTTTGGCAGGTGATTATACCTGAGACTGCCACCAGAGGATGCTCCTATGCTGAGCTGCTGGAGTCTGAAAGGCGGTTACCTGACAAGATGATCTCTCACAACTGGGGAAATCTCTTTGCACATTTGATGGCTGCAGTCTTTGCAGATGCAGCAGGGAAGCCAAGCTTTAGTGCCATTTTATCATGGCTACAACTCGGTGCCAAAGGATTGGACATGATTGAAGCCTTGATTGAGGACCGGAAGCGTTTCGGATATCAACACTGGAAACTCGCAGGTCTCGCTAGTATTCACACATATTGATAACTAAGAAACTTCAAAGACATACTAAAAGCTTCTTGTTACTACAACTGAAACAATTCCCAGTGAAACGATTCCGAAAGGAAGCTTCTAGTTGCTAGACTATTCATAGAACAATGGAATCATAACTCATAGTCGCAATCTGCTCAAATCGTGTCCATCAGGACGCGGGCCAGCTGGACAGCACACGTTGGCTGTGCATTTTCGCAGTGAACCAGCACATCTCAATTTGCGATTCAACCTGGGGATGCCGGGATTCTGTGACCAATGTGCCTTTCACAGGGTGTGGCTGCAAGAGGAGGAAGTTTCATTCTGGACCTCGCTGTGAAATGGACAAGTTCGATGCCATGATTACGCTCTTCAAACAGAAGAAGCCAGGCTACGAACACATCCTTGCTGTAGATTCCCAGGTCGGCCTCCTCAACAGGATGCTTGGTTGATCTTGGTGTTTGATGTTGTTGGGAGTCTGAAACAGGACTAAACAGCTGTTTTCAACTCAGTTCCTGCTATTTTCACCGGGACTACTTGAACGTGTTTGTAGCAGAAGACCTGGCAGGATTTGGGTGGTCGCAGAGGTGGCTGAGGTCTTCCGGCAGGAGTTGCCATGCAAGGTGGTGCTCCACCAGCCAAGCTCGGATCTTGAAGAGCTCCTCGGGATTTGCGGAAGATGTGGGATTCACCATGGGTTCAGCAAGATCAACGAACTCGCCAGCCAAGCTTGTGTAGAAGGGAACATGTTAAACTTCGAGATGACACCTCTCCAAGATCTGAGAATATTGTTTTCCGCTTTGATATGAACCATAGAAGAATCACCAAGGTGCAGGATGTTTCATCATTGATTTTCCGACTTGGAAAACGCTGAGGAGTTATTGAAAGGCTTTGAAAGGCATGTTTAGGATGTTGATCCATCCGTGCATCCCCCTCGTTTAGATTTGACTCATCCGACCCAGTTGGCCAACATGCGCAAGCGTCAGCCCTAGGAAGACCATGGCGCTCAACGTTTGGACTGCAGAGGCTAGTCGTCCTGAAGATGTCAGTATGATTCTGGATAAAATCGAAGACAAGGCGCGCTTATGAAGTTCAAACCAAGGTCATCCAACGAAGACACTTGAACATGGGTTTACCAAGAAACCTTGGGGGGGGGGGGCAAACAAGGGCCCAGGTTCACAAGCCGAACGAACGGCAAACATGTCATTTAGCCTGGTTGAAGAAGCAGAGTGAACACCTCCACGACCTGAAACATCGGGCAGGACGTGTTCAACGAACGTACCAAAGCGGCATTGCTAGCTGTTGGGTACTTGGCCAGCCTGGAGGCACATGTGGAGATGAGAAACTTTCCAGCAGACTAGGAAGATTAGAGGCAAGACCTTGTGAACATGGACATTTCAGCTGGGGAAGGCAAGGACATTGGGTCGGAGAGGACTGTAGACTCTGATCATTTTATACTCATTCTTATCATCTCTTTCTCTTTGACTCAGAGTCGTCCACCATCGTACCTGATCGTACCCATATCATATGGTCATGTCATGTCATGTCATGTCATGTTGCTTTCAGTTTACATCAACTGCACGTCATTCGCAGCTGCTAATGATGATTAATGATGACATCTTTTTCCACTCAGGGACCCCTCACTGTGGACGAATTTGCACTCCAACTCATGTAGCTCTTTTGTCACAAGCCAAGGATATCATCTGCGTGGTATCTCGAGTGCTGAAGCAGACGCTGGGACTGGTGGGCCTGCAAAGCCTTGTGTTTCTGTTTTATTTATTTTTTTCGACAGGCAGTTGCATCCCCTAGTCACTGAAAAGTTGAGGGGGTGAACAGCAAAAGGGGTGACGTGGACCGCCCAAATATCCCAGAAATAACCACATTTTACCAGAAAACCGCACAGTTTGCAGAAGGTTTGATATCACCAAGTTGTTTGCCACCTGTTGTAGCCAAGAGTGGGTTGAAACATGTTAAACCGTGACATCTAAACCCAAGCTTTAAAAACAGACCAATGAGGATGTACTTGTTTTGTCACAATGCTCATGAGGTTGCAACAGTTTCGACTCTTCAGGTTGAGTCACCGTCGGATATCGTTGGAGTGATCGTTGGATATCGTTGGACTTGGATCACGCCCGGCCGAAGCCCGAAGCCAAAAGCTGGGCGTCCATGTGTAGTGGTGAACTGAACTCCGTTTGACTTCGTCCCAGCTGCAAAAAACAAGTACGAGCCACAACTTGAAGTGATGAATCCTCAGATTCACACGGTCCTCAGGTTTTGGTTTCGAACATGCTAGTAGCAAGCTACGGGAAGAAGCGCCAAGTGATCAGGTTTTTTCATGCTTTTCGGACCGCAAAATGCCGTTCAAAGACGGCCGCTCTTCCAAGCAATGGTGCTTGGACATGGATTGCGGCAAACGAACGTCTGCAGTAGCTGCTTTGAGAGACAGCGGTCGTGCTGACAGTTCCTTTGCTGCACTTTGTTGGCTGCTCTGGCCACAATCTGGCCCAAATAAGATCACTAGCAGAGATACAGAACCCAAGGGGGGCCAAGAGGACCCAAGACACTCTGAGAAGGTTCCACCCTGCTTCCAAGGTGTTGCAACAAGTGGTGTGCAAATCAAGATGACCTTCAAGGAGCTCTTTGCTGCTTTAACACGAAAGCTAGCTGTGCTAGCTGGAGTTCTTCTTTGTTTTAGCAATATGTTGGGATAGGCTCCATGCCCTAAAGCTTGATGTTTCGCACGAATGAGGGTGGGCCCGGCTCCCCCGAGAGAGAGATGGACTGTTAGGAACTATGCGACAAAAGCTTCAAACAGCAGAATGGTCGGATAGACAACAACTAACCATCGAACCTAGCGAACCACGCCAACCCTGAGAACCCCGAGAACCCCGCCAACCCCGTGAACCCCGCCAACCTTGCCAACCCCGTGCCGAGAACCCCGCGAACCGCGCCAACCCCGGTGTCTTCCTCGATGTCTTCCTCATCCTCCTCCTCTCAATTCTATCGCATCATCATCATCATCAACATCATCATCATCATCGTCATCATCACCACCATCATCATCATCAGCATCATCTTCTTCCCTGCATCTTCGGAGAGTGTGATGCGGTTCCCAAGCAGAAGCTTGCAAACGGAGCTCATCCTCATCCTCATCATCATCATCAAAATCATCATCATGAACGTGATCCTGATCGTACCCCCATCGCGGTCCATGCCCAGTGCCAATAGTTTGCAGAAAACCCGCAAACATTTTACCTCCAGTTTCCCTGGCCTCAAGTATTTTTGCGCGAGGGGTTCTGGGGGCTTCGACCCCATCACGTTTCGACATTCTGATGAAACTCCACCGGTTACGGCTGCTGATCCAGTTGCCAACCCGATCGATCGTCAGGAGGAGAAGACCAAGAAAGCCGTCTACACTCTTCTTTCTCGAGTGTGGGAGAATGTCACGAAGAATTGGGATGCAAGCACTCTGGTTCCAGCAGCGGGCGGCTTGCCCAAGACGATTGCGAAGCAACACGATGTGGCAAAGCCCAAGATGATTGCAAAGCAACATGATGTAGCAAAGCCCAAGAAAGCGAAGAAAGTGAGCCTGAAGCAGAAGCAGATTCCCTCACTGCCAAACAGAGTGGAAGTGATGCAGCCTGAGCGAGGTCTGTGCTCTATGGCTGCAATGTGGCGCTCCGCACTTGAGAAGGACAGCTTCGTGGTAATCCGAGACCATTTGCCCGAAGACCGTCGCACCGCAGTCATGGACTGCATTGTGGCACACGTGCGGCGGTGGGTGCCGTCGGCAGGCGACATGAAGGAAAACAACGACGTTCTTCAGTCCTTGTCCGATGTTCCCTGTCAGCAGTGGATGAAGACGCCGCCCGACTGGGGCGGGCCGAGGTGGGGTGCCAAGCACCAGCTTGGTTGGATGATGCTTGGAGGATTTTAAAAACTAATTTCAAAAGGCTTGGTTGGATGATATGTGAAGGAATTTGTGTTGTTAAACTTTTTGCGCTGAAAAGGCAAGGCCATGGGCCACCAAAGCTTGAGATCAGACAATGGGATTCAACGAAATGGATTTCATGTTTCTTGAGGAAGGGCTCTGGCATTGGGCTCTTGTTCAAGTCGGCCGTCTTCAAGCACAAGCCTGAAGTTTTCGCACTCCAGGCGTCATCCGCCGGGCGTTTTATTACTGAGCAGTGCGTCCACAGAGGAGTTTTCATTTTTTACCGGTAAGAGTAAGGGAAGGTGCTATGTCGGGCTTGGATTTGACCGGTATACTTACCGTGCCATCTTGCTCTCTGCGCAAGATCTTGAGAGATTTGAGGGTTGATCGAAAAGGTCCGTGAAACGGATTTAGTAAAGGACAGCCATTCAGGTGTTGAGATCAGGGTCCGCGAAAGATTCGCGAAGGGATTTGCGAAAGCAACTTTTTTGGGCGAAAGATCTATCGCAACTCTCATTTTCACGATTTTGCAGGTATATATCAAAATACATGTCTCCACTACTATTTGTAAACCAGAACGCTAGCCAATGTCCTGAGACATCGGTCTTGCGCAAGTCTTTCCAAGGTCTCCTAGCACGAGTACTTTCAAGAGATCCGGAGACAGAGATTTCGTACAAGTGCAGCAGAAATGATTTTCCTGAGACACAGACCTTGCCCAAGTCGTCACGAGATCCATGGTCCACAGACCTTCGTGCTTTCAGGATATCCGGAGACAGAGATGTAATACAAGAGTATCGATACTGTGCAGATATCCTGAGACACAATTCTTGCACAAGTTCTCCCTGCTACACAGAACCGGTGCTACTGCTTTCAAGAGTTCCGGAGACAGAGAATGCAACGCGTGCTGTCCAGAGGTCCAGTCAAGCACCGCCGCTGTTTCTGCTGTTGTCTCACGTCGGTCCCTCCCAATACTGTTTGGGGTGTCTGGCTGCAATCGCGTGCAGATTTGCGGGTTGCAAGTATATATATATATATATATAGACTCGGTATTGCGTTACGTGTTTTGGCAAGTAGTGTGGTCAAGGATTGCTTGCTTCGCAGCTTGTTTTGGTATCATCTGCCCGTGAGGAGATGATGAGAGATACGATCGCCCGCATCCAAAATCAGAACCCCGCATGGCTTACCAATATGGCAGATGCTCAGCCTCAAAAGGTTGCCGGCAATATGTCATTAGGTCGATTGGGGTAATGTAGGGTTCCGCCGCCGTGCCCAGGATGCCGTATCCGTGAAGCCAAAGGGGTGTGGCCAATGGGTTTGGCACGTTGACCACGGCCGAGTTGGGACTTTGCAGGTGCTCATGGCACTGACGCCGGCCACGGTCCGGCTGGCGAGAGCGTCCCACAACAAGCCCCTAGTCAGGGCACGGCATTTTGCACTGATGAAGTTTGCTTGGTGTTGACGAGCCTGCTTTTCATCCATGGGTTTCGTTTCGCCATCATATTGGAGACCCGCGACGGTTGCCTTTTTGTTCCAAGATGCCATTCGCTTTGGGGTGCTTCACCCACACTGCAGGGTTCCTGAACATTTCCGGGGAATACTTATTTCCGGTTTTGTCGGAGCAGCCTTTGAAATCTCCCGTGTTTTGTGGCAGTTGGCATCGCGCAAGACGAAACGGCATAACATACACGGTGTGCGCCGAGGTTTCGCAAGGAAATCGAGAAAGACGAATGTAAAGGCCGATTCTGGGAAGTGCCGAAGCAGCTGTTGAGCCAATTGGTGGTGGAGGACGGCTGTTTTCTGGGGTTTTTGTAAGCCAACCCAAGCACAAATAGCTTGTCATTGCACTGCCCGAACACGTGCAGAAAGTTGTTAATGGTATTTTGTAAGTATTGTCTGGCGGAAGGTGAATGCAAGCGTGAACTTCCAGACATTTGTGCTGCTCACATCCGTCCGAAAAAAATCACTCGAGGATTTGAGCCTCAACCCTGGTGACGTTTGTTTGATGATGGGGGGTTGCTGTCACACGAGCCCGGAAGTCAACGACAAGGTGCGGGTGATGGCCTATGCACACTTTGCCTGAGCTGCCCCTGGGCGGGTTTTCATGAGGGTTTTTGTCCGAGCGGGAAAGTGGACAAGTTGTATGTTCTGCCGAGGGTGGAGCTATCTTTGTGATCCCTCGAAGGAAGTGTTTGCGCGTTGCTGTTTTAGTCCACCACTGCCGGGGCATTGCTTTCAAAAGCATCCAAACCATTTGTCAAACTACGTACTGGTGCAGTGTACCAATGCCACCAGCGCTTGCAAATTTCCTGTTTTTTGGGGGGGTGGATCCAGTGTCCGAACCCAGGCTTCCTGAGGCTGCCGGAAGTCAACGACACGGTGCAGGTGATGGCCTGCGCGACAACAACAGCAGCAACAACAACAACAGCAACGACAAGGACAACGATGACGACAACAACAACAACGACAGCAACAACAACAACAACAGCAACAGCAACAGCGACAACAACAACCCCAACCACAACCACAACCGCAACCACGACCATAACAACAACCTCAACGGCAATGAGAACGGTCTCGGTTGGTGTTGTGCTTCGTGGTTGCCGAGGAACCTTTCCCTTTGGCGTCGTCGAGGAAAAAACAGTTAGACGGAATGTTTGTCCAGCGCTGGCGCAGAGATAACACGGGCTATCTCAGAGCGCCCAGGGATCCACTCGAAATGCCAGGTTTTCCCATTGAACGTTTTGATCGTGGCCATGTTTAATTTCCAGGCCCCGAATCCTTAGTATAGCTTGCCCA